CATATACATATAGACACATACAATACAGAACAAACAGACACAAATACAAATAGACAAATAGAGACATACAATACAGCCCAAGTTAAGAGAATTAGGAATTTTATTTGTGTGTGCTGGCACTGGAGCATGAATTCAGGGCCTTATGCTCTTGCTTGGACATTTTGCTCAGGGATGGCACTCTACCACTTGAGCTACACCTCTATTTTCACCTTTTTGCTAGTTAATTGGAAGTAAGAGTTTGAGATATATCTGTTAAGGATGGCTTCAAAACACACTCCTCAAATCTCAGCCTCTTGAGTAGCTAGGATTATATGTGTGAGCCACTGGTACCTGGGAAGGCCAGAAAATTTTAATATAAAGAAATTACTGCAATTATTATTATTACTGTAGTGAATTATAATTTAAGTAACCATTTATGAAAATTTTTCTGTATGCTAGATTCTGTTCTAGGCATTTTATATTTGCATAAAATCATCTGATTTTCTGTGAGGTATATACTATTATCCCTATGTTAAGAAACTGAAACAGTGGAATTATACAAATTTCTTAAGATTACAAACCTTAAGTCAAGATTAGTACTTAAATCCAATAATCTGATGCAAAGACCAATGTGTTAGATATACCTTGGAAATGTTAATGTACACCTGCTTCACATAATTGCATTAAATAATTTGAATTGATAAACATGATAAATCCTATGTGTTTGCCCATATCCACATTCTTGATTATTGCACTAAGTTGAAGATCTTTCCATAGCATTTTCTTACATTAAATAAGATAGACAATAGACTCTTTCAATCTCACTAATTTTAAGACACATTTTCAAAGACCTCCTGTCCAATTTTTATGACAAAATGAATAACCATTTCATGAAGGAAATTAACTGATTTAACTTATTAACAAACTACAGATCAATTCTCAAGGCATCCCTATGAAAGGACTGCTTTATTTGTATAATTTAATAAGACACTATACTTTATCACAATTACTCATTTAGTGTCTATGTTCCCTGCCAGACTAGAAGCTAAGGTTCACATCACTCCTATGTACTATGATGCCATAATGCCCAGTATAGCAGGTTGTTAGAATTTATAGGATGAATAAAGTGAGAATTACTCTTCTATCTATTGGGCTTGCTTTTAGTAAACCATTAGTAGTAGCTTAATAATGCAAAGAATGACTATTTCTTATAAGATTTTACATATTTGTAACTAGTAGTACATGAATGATGTTTTAAAGAAATAACACAAATTTCTTCAAAAGCCTCATGACTTTTACCAGCAACAGCTCTTTCTTTATAAACTTGTTATAACTTCCTAAATTAACAGATTTTGGGAGGCTCCCAGTTCTGGTTTTCACATTTAAAAGGTTCTCCCTTATACTGAGCTGAGAACAACCTTCTCATCCCCATAACCTCAAATAGGCAGTTTTAGTAAAATTCCTTTGTCACATAAACTTCAATTCCACATCATGTTACTTCCAATTTATTTCTTCATAGTAGCTCCCTAAGTCAAAATAGAATCCATTATAACGGACAGAAACACTATAAATTTCTAAAGTCTTTTTTTTTTGGTGGTACTGGGTTTGATCTCAGGACCTAACATTTGCTGACTGGTTCTATCAGCTGGGACACACCCCTGCCTCTTTTTGCTGTCATTATTTTTCAAATAGTTTCTCAAATTTCTGCCTAAACTGGTCTGTATTGCAGTCTCCCTATTTATACTTCTGATGTAGCTGTGCTCAGGTGTGTATCATATTCTTAGCTTTCTACTGGTTGAGATGTGGAGGGTAGGTATGTGTCTCACAAACTCTTTGTCTAGGCTGGCCTCAATCACAATCTTCTTAACCTCCACCAACTGAGTAGCTAGGATTATAGGCATGTGCCTGTGGTGCTATGTTGGTAGATTTTAAACACATCATTTGTAATTCATTTCAATTAAAAATCTGCTATGTAACACCCTTGATCTGTTATATTTATGGAACCTGTTTTATTTTTAATGCTTTATTACTGTCATAATTTATATAAAATAAGTTGCATTGTGAAACTTCCACCATGCATATATTCATAGGTTATATACCGTCCTATAACTCTATGGCTTTAAGTATTTTTGTGCAGTTAAATACTTGATTTTTCACTTGACATCATGGACTAATCAAAACCAAGTAGTTATCAAAAGAAAACTATTATATGCAAGGCATAGTATATAGAAAGGACTACTTATTTCCTCAAGTACTCCTTGAGTAGCTGGGAAGACATCTTTCTTCTAGCACTGACAAAGTGAACTGCCTAGATCTCTAAGCTGAAATCTTCAACTCAGAATACTCAAAAGTTGGGTTGGTTACATTCTCAGAGAATATCCAGGGAAAAATAAACAAAGAAGTCACTACAGAAACAAAATTCAGCATAACTTTAATGAGAAAGTGCTTAATTTTGATTTTATCATTTGAAAACAATTTATATTTTTCTAGTATCTTAATAGGTTCCACATTTAAAAGGTTAGCATTCACTATTTTAGTTTAATTATCTAGTTTAATTTGTTTATACTAGAAAATCTAGTGCAATGGGATGACTATGGTTTATATTATTTTTTTACATGTTTTATAAAGAGCCAGAAGAGAAATGTTCAAAGGTTCCAAACATGAAAGTGATGAGAGGAAAGTAATGATTACTTCACCTAATTTGATCAGTATACATTGTATACATGTGAAAAGAAGCACATGGAACCAATTAATATGTACACATTCAATGAAAAATAAAATCTATTACTGAGTTTTCAAGAATGTCCACAGATTTATCATATGAAAACAACTAACCTGATTATTTTTTAAAACAACATTCTTGAGATTTACTGTATCCTATTAGAAAACTATAAATAGAAAAAGTGTAGGTTTTATTAGCTATCTAAGTATTTTTCACATAACAAATTTTATTTTTCAAAATTTAACAAATACGCATAGTTCATGTGTAAAATATATATACTGCATTCTTAAGGGAATAAAATTAAGTAATGTACACTACCATTAAAATACCTACATTGTAAATGAAAGCACTGGAATCTATCTTTATTCAGGGCCAGCCTTGGCAAAAAGTATGAAATCCTGTTTGAAAAATAACTAAAGCCTTTAGGACTGAGGACAAGTACCTCATGTGGAAGAATACCTGCCTAGCAAACATAGGACCCTGGGTTCAAATCCCAAACAAACTACCCACTAAAAATTGTGTGCATACAATAACTTTCTATCCATTGAAGAAGTTAGTTTCCGTCTTTAGGGAACCCATTGTCAAAAATTAAAGAACCCTAGTATTTCTCTCCCATTAACATAATTTTCACATGACAGCTCAGTATTGACATGCTTTTGTTACAAATCTAAGAAAATATAATAGCAGTTTTTCTCCATAGTCACAAGTCTCCCCCCCTCCGTTTTTGCTTAGAAGATAGTCAGTTAAATGACTTATAAATTTTAACAGCTCAAAAATAAAGAACTTCATTTTCACGGTCTGTGTTTTATACACCATCCATATTGCTTCTACTCCTATGGCAATTTATGCCTTTTCATGGTATTGGCTACAGTTGCAATTTACATTTGTCAGTGTAATTATTTCAACACTATAATTACCACCTACACTGGATGTCAAGAGTAGTTAGGGAATACTATTTTAACCTTAGCACCAAGCTGAATAGATGGCATACAGTATACAGTACATAATATTTAAACTGCTAGATAAATGGATTGAGGATGGATGTTGTTATCTAGAGTGCTTAGTTCATTGTCAACATCTGAATTATTATATTATACTTGGTCTAGGTGTTTCTTACAAGGGCAAATTCTGGGTATGTTCATTACTAAAATCTAGAAAACAACTAAAACCATGACACAATTCCATTAATATCATCTGATGCCTCTAAGGTAAGAAAAACACTGTGCTGGTCTCAAAACCTTATGTTTTATAACAAAATGGTTCACAGAACTACAATGTAGCACTACTATATCAATCTTATTAGCCATTACCTAGTTTCCAGAAAGCTAGCATGTCCATGGAGATAATGAAATAAGCTTTGATAACCTTCCATTTTAGATTTCAATCTCTACTCCTGTTCAAAGTTAACATAGGTAACATGAGTTTGAGTGGCCAAGGATGTCCAAATAAAGAGACATACAGAAACCAAAAGCATTCAGGAGAAAAATCTAAATTTAAGATCATATGAATTTAGGAATTATATTTTCAGTGTAAATAAATGTTAGGTAGAGTAGAGATATTTGATTTTATCATCAAAATTTTATACTATGCTATATCATATAATATATAAAAACATACTATGCTGTAACATTTGTGACTTTATTTTGGGTATATAAACATTTTGTCTTGTAAATTTAACATTTCCCACAAAAGAATATTAACAATTTTAATGTACTGCAGTATACATTTTGAGACAGGATCTCATTATACAGCCCAGATTGGCCTCAAACTTGTGACCTTCCTGCCACAGCCTCCAGACTACTGGGATTTTAGGCATGTGTGACCATATTCAGCTCCTATTGTAGCATTTTAAAGGGTATAATGTTAAACTAAATGGATTTTATTATGTGTTATAATACTTCTTTTCCACTATTATTTTACAAAGACGTAAATAACAAAACAGACTTATAAAACTTGTGACATATGCTTTGAGAAGCATTTATAAGACCTAAATACATATCAATTTGGTATAAAAATGATAATGTAGTATGCTATTTCAAAAAGTGAATTCACTGCAGTAGAATTATAACAAACAAATTTTTTTCAGCTGTATATTTTTATTATCACTCTCTTATCACATTTAGTATATAAAATCTTTTCTTTGCAAATCATTCTTTGTATTTGATTAAAAGTGTAAGGTACAAACATATAAGTGTTACACATTTGCCATTAAGTCCTAGAGTTAAAATAAGCTAAAATTTTAATTTAAATATAATAAATATACACATTTATGTATTATAATTTAAACAAAAACTCTTACCATTTTTTCCTTTTGATAGTTATTCATTCACTCCATTAGTCTTTCTTGATAGTGCCTTCCTATGTCAAGCAGATAGTAGTCAAATCACAAAATGACATTTGGATGCTCACGTCTTCAGATAGGAGTTTTCGGCCAATTGCCAGTTGAGAATTTAAACTGAAAACTAAATTACCCAAACTTTATTACGTTGTTCCCAAACCCACCCACTGATAATGAGAAATAACTCCTAACTGGAAAGTAAAGTGATTGACACCATTTATGTAGTTGTAATACTTTTTAAGAACAAATGCTATCATTAAAAATATACCTTCCCCATAAATATTTTTAGGGAACAGTTTTAAGTAAATTTAAATTCATTCCCAACTGTTTCCTTAATTATCTTGCAACGCAAATCATTTTATGATCAAAACAGTAGTTTACTCAATGATATAATAAATTATTAATTCACAAATATAAGTCACTTCAAACACTGTATTCACCTCAAGATACCTGTAAGGTTTGGAAACAATTTTACAATATAATTTATACTTACAAAATGTTTATTAAATCATCAACTACTTTTTGTAACTACATACTGTAACAGAAATTAAAATTTCCTTAAAGAAAAAAGGCTCTACCTTAAGCCATTTTTTTGTACTGAGAAGTCAAAATTTAGGATTATCACACACTTTCCTTTTCTGTACTCTGCTGATTATCATATTTACTATTTGTGTAACTTGCCAATCACTAGACTTCATAATAATTTAGTTGTACAATCTGCTGTTTGATGATTCTCAGATACCAGTCAAACTAAATTATCCTCACATATCACTACAATATTCCTCAGAGCCTTAACAGAGCCCAACTATGAGATGTTCAGTTTCAATCTTTGAAAACTTAAATCTTAAGCAAAAATATAGTGAAGCTAAAATGAAAGAAAACTTGCCCTTTCCTAAAACATCATGGTTACTACTAAATAAAACCTAGGTATGAATATTATTATTCCAAATTATGTACACTAAAAGATGCAAATAGTTTCATGTCCTAAACATAACCCATACACAAAACATATATATGCTGTATGCACAATCTTTGTTTTCTTTCTTTCTCCCTCCTTCACACACATATACTCTACATGTATATCCATCCAACATACAATCTTAAAGATGTTTCCATATAATAAACTGAAACCAATTCTTAAGTATTTCATAACACAGAATATAAAGTAAATAATCAGCTTATGACTAAACCAAGAGAAAATGACTTTGTAAACAAAGCGTAGCATTTAATAAAAGTACTGTTTTTGAGTTAATCAACACTGGCCTCCAAACAGTTTGTTATTCTTAGTTACAAATTTATTCTAGTCTATTAGCCCAAAATTTCAATAAAGGTAATATTTACAAACTACTCAGAGACCCACAGAGTTCTGATCTACCTGCTACATGTTACAATAGTTGACTCCATTCTCAAAGACTTTATAATCTAAAACTGTACAAGGTAAATGTGTGTTGGGGAGAGGTTTATGAAGACAAAGGAGTAGATTTTGAAAACAGAAACAAGCACATTGGGCAGTTTAAGTGGTTTGAATAGGTTTACAACATATAGGAGTTTAAAGCAGAAAATGCCAAGTACTTATTTTTACTTAGTGTAACAAAACTCTCAAAGCAAACAATGATTAAATATAGACTATGGCCACAGAAGTTCATGTCCTTATTGAAGATAAGAGAGATTCCTTAGCCAAATCAAATTACAGAATATGAAGGTTTCCCCTACTCTGTCCCAAATCAGGCTTCAGTACAATTCTAAACGTATTTGTTTCATCCTAATGACTAAAATCATCATGAAAATATTTTAACTATTAATAGGAGACGTAATACTGAAAAGATACTAGGAGATTAATAAAATCATGAGTCAAAAAAGGGCAGAATAACTCTTTTGGCATGACTAGCATTATGGATAATTCACCTCCTAAGAAAGCTAATTTCACATTCCAGAAGATGATGAGCACAAGTGATTTGTCAATATATATGTGTGTTTTTAAAATAAAATCTCTTATAAGTGTTTTAGAATTTAACAGTACCTCTTCATTTTATAAAAGAACAAACCAGTCTAGAAAAATGTCCCTATTTAACCAAAGTCACACAGTCAGTAATAAAACCAAGACTCCTAAGAAAAAAAATGCATGCTTTTTTACTATAGTCAATAAAAGAAACAATCTCATCTCAGAGAAAGACAATCAGTAACATTATGATTACTTTATATCTAATACTTCATTATTTTGACCATTTAGATTTAAGTCAGGCACTCTGTTTCATAACTATCTCTTCCAGACTAAGATCATGAGTTTGACAAATACACAAAATTTTATTAAAACTCTCTATAAAAAAGTAGTCTATGGTTTTCCCACAGCATCTATGTTTCTTTCATTTCCTTCGGTTTTTTTTTTTTTTTGGGGGGGGGGGGAAGGTCCAGTCGTGGGGCCTGAATTCTGGGCCTGGGTTCTGTCCCTCAGCTCTTCAGCTCAAGGCTAGCGCTCTACCACTTGAGCCACAGCACCATTTCCGGCTTTTTTCCTTTTTGCTTATGTGGTGCTGAAGAATCAAACCCAGGGCCTCAGGCATGCAAGGCAAGCGCTCTACCACTGAGCCACCTTCCCAGCCCTGTTTCTTTCATTTCTAACATCCTATCTTGCCCAGTTTTTAGCAGAACTGTTTATCAGTTTAAGAGTGTCACATGGAGAGCAATGGAAATACCAAGTCTTACTTGGACTGCTTCAGATGATACAATTCATCCAAGTTGTGTGTGTGTGTGTGTGTGTGTGTGTGTGTGTGTGTGTGTGTGTGGCTGTGTGTGTGTGCATGCACACAAGAAGTTAAAAAACTGAAAGCCTATTTGAATTTAGTTGTAAGAATAAAACTTGTCAACTAATAGATTCTATTGTCTATTCAAAACCAAAACTTACGAAGAGTTTCTAGTAAAGCGCAGCATATTTTTAGTTCAGCTAGAGTAAAATGTCAGAGCACTCATTAGGTAGTACCTAAAATGATTCACCAAAACTCTTGTGAACAGGGAGTCAGGTTAAACAAATTAACTCCATCCTCAGCCACCCCCACACCAACACTGCCACTATTACCTTCCATTCCATTGCTCTGAGTCCATGGACCAAAAGAGCATAAAATAATTTTTATTGCTATTATTTCTATTCCAAAATGGCATCTCAGTATTTCATATATAATAGTAAAGGCTCTAAAGAAGAAAGCAGCTCTTTGCTAAACCTTACGAAAACTAGCATATGATAAGTAGAAAACACTGAATTTCAGGTCAAAGAAAACAGGTAAAGAAGAATTAAAAAAAACAAAAAACAAAAAAACCTTGGAGGTAACTCAGATATTTCAGGATAGTAAATATACAATGTATTTGCTAACTGGGTAATATAATCTATCATTCTCAGATCAAAAATCCAATTAGTATTTCATGAATATTGTTTTTGGTGATACTATGTATAATGAAGTATGTTAGGACAACTATGACCTTGAAAACAGTAAGAGGTTAACAATTTGACATATTTTCTTTCTTCTATGTATATTTTCAGTTTTTCTGCAGCAAATATATGTTTATATGTATATTCAGATTAAATGTATACATTGTTTTCACCAACTCAAAATATTTGATATATTCCATGTGCCAATAAAACATCTTTATATTATCATAAAAACTAATAAATTAAGATACAATGTATTAAAATGCTTTTTTAGATTTCTTTAAAATTTTCATTTTATTGTAAAGATGCTAAGCTCAGTCTTTTTCCTAAAAACTTTCTATTTTGTTCTAGTACATTTAGAGTGAAGCAGATGTTTAACAGCAGAAGCTATCTGAAATGAACTGAAAGGGGTCACAGAGAGCTCGGAGTAGGAAAAAGGACAAACATGTGGCAGGAGAGGTAAATCTGGAAGTGGGAGTGTGCAAATATTACTCCCAGATTAGTCAGTGCTTTTTTGCTACATAGAGCAAACAACTCACAACTACTGCTGTTTTGCAAACTTTAAGTAGGGCACTGAATAAGAAAGAAAAAGCAAAAACAATGTAATATACCGAATAGTTATAAGTGATGGTACTCTGAAGTAAATTATGTTCCTATATTTAGTAAAGCATACAGAAGTATTTCAATATATTTAAAAATATACAAGACACAGTTTTCTTTAATCAAACAAAAGGGACCACACTATAGTTTTACTAAGTCAATACCAATAAAGATAGCAAGTACTTACAGATAAATTATCAAATAAACAAAGGTAATGTATTTCCTTTGGAAGTGATAATGCCTTGTTAGTTGGAATCCATCTTAAACTTTAATATCATAAATATTTAAACATAAGAAAGTTCTAATTCACATCTGTGATTCTCATTACATCCCTTATTACCTTTTGAAGAATCTTTCATAATTTTTGCAGTGTTCCACATTATACATTTGGATTGTGTAGTTTATTTTACAATGGTATAGCTCAGTAAAGTTTGTGACCATGTTTTGTTTCTTATTTTTCTGCGTTACCATCAAAATGCCCTAACACTAGATATATATTTAGTATACACACAATCTTATAAACTGGATTAAAGAAAACCTTTATATTGTATGGTTTGAATGTGGTGGCACACACGTGTAATTCCAGCTACCTGGAAGGTGATGATCACATTTCCAGTGTGGTTGGAGACCAGGCTAGACAAACTTAACAAGAGACATTCTACCTGAAAACCAGAGTAACAGCAAAAGATCTGGGTACATGGTTCAAGTTACAGACTGCCTAGCAAGCACAAGGTTTTGAGTTCAATCATATTATAGATATGTGACTTACTAGAGCTCCTATTCAATATTGATTCAGGCTACTAAAACTCACTGTAAGGGAACACCACTCCAATAGCCCTAAAAATACAAAACAGTCTCTGGAACTCTGTGGGTTTCTTATTTCAGTATATATAGCCAAGTTTCAGCACCTATAGTTCCATATATTCATGAAAACAAAGCCAACTATATAGTAAGGTCTCTGATGGTTATGTCTATACTAAATGTATCTTTCCTGTCATCATACAGTACAGCAATTATTTAGAAATCATTCACACTGTATTATGTTCTATAATCTAGAGATGATTTAAAACACAAAGGAAGATTTTGCAGTTGATTTGCAAATC